GACTTGAAAGGCGCTCATAAATAAAATTTATTATTATTATTAAATAAGCTGCAAGTTAATAACAGCAATCTCTGACACACTGAAGAAAACGCTGAGATGGTTATCCCTCATGTCCTGCCTCATGGGATTATAATATAAAGTTACATTTGAAAAATATTTCCCTTGTTCTTAAAAATGATCCCATTACCAACCCTGGAAAAAAATAATCTGACAACTTCAGATTGAGAAACACTGACCTAGACTTATAGAACGCATAGAGGACGGCAGCGCCTGAAATAAACCGAGGAAATGGCAGCCTATCCAGGTCAATCCATCCATCACTGCACACTTACTCAGACAGAGGACAGCTCCCTGACAGAGGTCTGAGTGGTTTGGGATTGAGATGGAGGAGCGGGAGAGTTATAGCTTCTGAACCCTCCCCCCTTCCTTCATGTGAAGAACCTTGACAAGGAGGACCTACCCTGGTATGGCTCAGAGAAGTACTTAAGCAGAAAGAGTGAGGATAAGAGTCGTGGTTTTTTGGGGTTTTTTTTTTTGCCTTTTTCTCAAATCATCACATTTTTATCTTTCATTTTTGATATTTCAATAAGGCACAGACCCTGTTCTGTGATTACAGAGCTGCTGCTTCTTGCACATTCCTTATCGTTTTGTGTGCATTTTGTTCCAAGAATGTGTAGCAGGTGGATTTGCACTCGGTATTTCCAAGTGAGGTTATCTAAAAATTTGAAAACCCAGGAGGGTGGAAGCATGGACTGTGATAAACTGGAAGATTGTTACAGAACTGCCCGACATATTAAACGCATCTCCCCGAGTGGGCGAGGCTTCGAGACATCACCGGTAGAAGACAAATGGTCGGACACAAAAAAAAACCCCTCAGTGCTCATCCAAAGACAAGAAAAGAGTCAGAGTGTGTGCTATAAAAAAGAAGAAAATACTCTTTGAATCCTGCTCTTTCATCTTCGGTGTCTGCCTGTGTCTCGCTCGGCGTGCAGCGGTCATTTAGCTTCAGGATTGAGCCTTTTTAACCTGTCACCAACAATGAGCGTCAGTCAGTTTTATTACAGGTGCATGAAGGGGCTACCTCTGATTGTAGAGGCGCCCTCAGAGCTGCCGCGCTGAAAGCGGCTTACTGAAATCATATCTGAAAAGTACCCCAACTATTCTGCTCAAATTCAGAATTGGAGTTAAAAGGTAACTATTTATCGGCATTATTGACAAGATATTTGAAAATGAAAACTTAATATTGTGTGACAATTTCACATACAGTTTGATAAGACTATAAATACTTCTGTAGTAGTTCTAATAGTGGGAATCTGACATTGTGCCCTGTGCTGTGTAAGCTATACGCTATGTATGCATTACGTATTCAATTGCGTATGAGTGATGCCATCTGCAAGGTATTTACTTGTGGAACATTTCTGTCCTCCTATTTTGAAAGTACAGTCGCTACTAACCAGCTAGACTCAGGCCTTCCTGTGTCATGTTTCCATACCAGAAGGCTGGCTAGTCATTTTTGTGGCTCTAGACGTCCACAGCGAGATAGAGGACGACTCTAAGAAGAACCTTCTCCTGTGCACCAAGCTTACAGAGGCTAGAGAACAAGGACTGCAGCCCATACCTGCTGTCCAGGGGACCGTCAGCAGGATTAGAGACTCACTAGAGAGTAAACGCATGTCAGGGGTGATTTGTGTCAGAAGGATAGCAGCACTAGTGAAAGGAACGGTTTACAGGATGGTAGTGAGACCTGCTATGATGTATGGCTTGGAGAGTGTGGTTCAGAGGCCGAACTGAAGATGACAGGATTTATATTGGGAGTGACCAGAATGGACAAGATTTGAAATTAGTACATCAGAGTGAAAGTTCAGGTTTATTCAAGGATGAGATGGTTTGGACATGTGCAGAGGATAATGGATATGTTGGACAAAGGATGCTGAAGATGAAGATGCCAGGCAGGAGCAAAAGAAAAAAAAGATTTGTGGATGTAGTGAAGGACGGAGGAGGATTCTAGAAATGAAATGGAGGCATATGATGTGCTTGGGTGACCCCTAAAGGGAGCAGATGAAAAGAGAAGAAGAAGAAGACTTCTTACCTGTATGTGTCCTCTGATGGGCCTTTAGGTGGGAGCTCTTGGTGTACACCTTTCTGCAACCATTGAATTGGCAACGGTGAATCCTCTTCTTGTTTTCTGGTAGCTCTCCAACCCCGATCACACATGCAGCCCCCTCATCTTCATCTTTCACCTGGACAGGAAGCGTGTGCCCCGCCACCAACCTGGCTGCGCTAAGCCCCACCTTCCTGGCTACCAGCTTCAAGGTGAGTGTCCCATCAGCGGAGGCCGTCAGCGTCTGGTTGGGTTTGACAAGGTGTCGGCCGAGTTCTGGCGATGACGGAGGTGTCAGGGAGGTGACGGCACTCAGCTGAGCCTGGTGGACCCCTTCCATGCCCTCTACATTTTCCAGCCCTTGTCCTTTGGGTTTGAGGTCTCTCCTCACAGCGCCAGGGGAAGGGAAGTTCTTTCGAGTAGGGCAAAGGATCACCGGAGGTGGGCTCGGTGGTTCTGGGAGGCTCGGCAGGCTGGGGAGCAGGGTGTCTGACAGCTCCTCCTCTCCATCCTCCTTCATGTATGCTGGAGTTAGGAGGCCATCCAAGTCTTGGTCAAAGAGCTCCGACAAACGCTTGGGCTCTGTCTGCAGATAGCGCTCCAATTCCAGGCAGGTCTACAGGAAGGAAAAAGTGGGAGAAAAAACACTCGGTTTAGATTTAACCCAGGCAAATTCACACATTCGGTCATTTGCACACCCTCGCTCTCAAATCCCACTTGACAATTTCAACAGCCCATCAGATCATCCGATATGCCTTTACATGCTGTGCAGAGAAAAACCTGCATGGTGCCATCCACTCACCCACACAGGCAACTGAGCAGCTCTGCCAGCTGTCACACACACACTCACACACACAAACACAGATAGCCACCAAGACAGCCAGGATTACCTGGCAACTCCAGCAAGACGGCTGATTAAACACTGATTGATTGCAACCGCTGTAGCACGGGAGGAGAAAAAAGAAAAAAGAGGAGGCAACGGGGAAAGCAGGGGGAGAACTCCTAAACTGTACAGAACTCCTATCAAACAACATTTTATGGAGCTTTGACAAACCATGTGCACACAGGCTTCCACTGAGCCAAGATAGGAAGATTTATTCAGCTGTAGTTATGGTCCGCTTCATCCCTATTACTCCAAACACCTCTCCCCGCGGAGGGCAAATAAAAGGCTGCATCCCGGATTTTTGTGCGAACTGGCATCCTGAGAAGTCTATTACTTTCCAACAAGCCGGCAAGGTTCTAGGAGGAAGAGCGAGCGTGCGACGGTGGGGTTGGGGAGTAGGGGGGAGGAAAGAGACGCTCCATGTCCAAGGATGAAGCTATTACATTTGAATGGCCGGCCACAGTTTGATCCGAGGGATCGTTGTGTTTTGCTTGTAGCCACTAACCCGTTTTGACAGCTGAGATGGAGGCTAGCAGCTCCACTGGGCGCGTGCAACTCGCCACTTCATTTGTGTGTAAATAGGCACTGACAGACAGAGCAGCTAGTTCCATTATCAGGAATAAGGTTGTGCAGACTGAACACATCAGAGACATTTACAATCTTACAGCAGCACCCACCCCACCACCACCATCACCACCCCTTTCCTTGTTTGCACCTTCTAAAAATAAAACTGCACGTTTTTTCTCCTGTTTCGAAGGTGAGGTGGAGGGGTGGGGATGTTGCCGAGGGATTTCTCCTTTAAGTCATTTTCTTCCAGGAACAAAAAGGGATTTGGAGTTGTTGGGGTTTTTTTGTTCTTGACTGCTTACAGTATTTGCATACTGACATCAAATTAAAAAGCTGCTCTGGACCACATCTACAGCGAGAAGTGAAGATAATGCACCGTGTCTCCTCCCTAGACTGTACGCCTACATGTTGTTTTTGCTGGGGTTTTTTTTACCTGGTGATGGCTTTAAAAAAATACGTTCTTTCATGCGCCGTCTGAGAGGTCTTTGCCGTTGATGGCTCCGCTGAACGAGAAGGGAGACGTCCCGCTCGCTGTTCTCTCTCTCTCTCTTTGGGAGCGAATTTAATATTGAAGCTGTCGAGATGTGACGGGAGAAGCACCCGTCGGTCAGTGAGCTATAGAAAAAAACGCAACCCTGCTCTGTTTACAGCATGGCCTCTAACACCTTCAGCCCATCCACCGATTGCCCCCCACCCAAAAAAATCAACCTGCTTTTCTTTTTACTTTTCTTTTTTTCCTCCTGCATTGTTGTCCCTTCCTTTCCCAAGGTGAGGACTAATTATCCGCTAAAAACCATCCAGTTAAAAGGTACTTTATTCGGCAAAATGCTGAGGACTGCAAACCAAGGTGAGTGTGTGCGAGGCAGCGATAGTTCAAGGGAGCGGAAAAGAGGATAGAAATGGATAAGTGGAGAGCGGGGCTGAGGAAGGTGAAGAAGAAAAAGAAGAAGAAGAGGAGGAAAAAGGAGACTGAAGGAGAGTGATGGTGGGGGGACAAGGTGGGAGAGTGAGACAGTGCGAGCGAAGGTCTTGACTTCATTTTCTCCGTGGGGGGGGAGGGGTGAATCCTTTTTGGGAGTGTGACATTTGCCGTAACGGGATCCTGTCAGCGGGCGAGCCACAGGCCTCGTGCACGCAAGCACGTAGGGGAGGGTTCACGCACGATAAATGTTCGGTTACGACCCACGGCGAGGTGCCGGGGGTGTACTCCAGCGTTGCGTGCGTGTGCATGCCTGCATGTATAAGGTGTATGTGCGCAGAATGGAAAGACGCTAACCCTTGCACGGAGGATGAAAGCGGGCCCCAGGTGAGGCGGTGATGGGCAATACAAGCTTATCGTGGGCTCTTTCTTTGAATCTGTCTTTCTTCACTCCAATCACTCCATC